TTTCTGATCGATCGTTTCGGGCGGCAATGGCGGTACTGAAAACGGCAAACACATAGGGTCGCCTTTTTTTTACGAACCGAGATAGTTCTGCGCGCGCGTTCCAGTTTCGGCACGTAGCAGAAATATCATAAAATTCCGTGGGTGAATTCTCCTACGTGCAGCAATATAATGTGTTATTTATTCATCGGAGCTGTCGAAACACGAATGTGGAATACATTTTATGTGTGCGTTTATTATTGTTCAGTCGCTTTCGGTTGACGAGTTCGTTATAGATTAGTATCTACTGGCACTGGTGGCAAGTTGTTGTTTTCGACTGTAATTGAGCTATTAAAGGCAATTCGAGGCTCGGAACTAGTTTACTGCACTGCGGAGCTATTTGATCAGATATGCGTGTTCGAAACACGACTTGAATGCACAATTAGAGCCTTCGAATGTGTAATGGTTGTCCGAATTAGTTATTGTTTGATTTGTGTTTGCTGATAGCGATCATGCTTAAATTATAAAAAAAAATGTCTTCATGCTTCAGTTTGCCTTTTGAATTGGTAAGTTTCGAGCAAATAGTCAAAACATCGCAAATGCATTTACATGCTGACTCACGACTGATTCTCAAAACGGCGTATTCGATATTTTTCAATCAGTGTTGGCAAAATCAGCAATCATTTGATATTTTTCCGCTCTCATACAGTCTCAATATCACCCGTGATATTGGAAAAATATCATGCTTCATATTGATTTTACAAGCTCCTTTGATATTGCGAGACTATTCACAACGTGCAAAAATCAAGCTGAGAGTTGACTCGACACAAAAATGATTCCGTTTCGCATCGTTTTCTTAGAAAGAGAAAGTATAGTTTGCTATCTCTTTTTACTCTTCACCGATGGCAGACACGAAGTGACTGCTGCCAACCGTTATGGAAGCTTCGGTTGCGTTTGGATGTAAAGCAAAAATCGTGAAACTCAATCTCACCACAGTTTGTTGAGATTTGCAGCTGGTGAGTTTTGTGAGGTTGATATTCCGAGCTGCGATATCGCAGCTTACAAAATCAACCGCAGTTGTTTGCTTGTTGATTTTTGTCTACGAAAATCAAGCGTGATCTTGGGCGTTCGTGAGATTGGATGTTTTGATATTTTCCCAACACTGTTTTCAATAAATAATAGCACGGAAACGGCTCAACCAGTGTTTCCAGCTTATCAGTATCAACAAGTTTAAAAAAAATCGGTATTTATCGGTATGTTATCTTAATTGATCTTATATTTCTGCCGTTTTTTATGCCGAATATTCAAACTTTTGGACTAAGAGCGGAAAATTTGCTTTCCAGGAGAAGTCGGAAGAAATTTCCGGACAATGTTTGAACTAGCTTCTGGAGGAAACCGATAAAACTTCCAGAGAAAGAATAAAGTAGCTCTTCTGGAGAAGTCGGAAAAACTTCCGGGGAACTTCCAAGACAAATATTGAGAAAATTCTGTTGAAAATTTAAAAGGGCTGTCGAAAAAAAACGGGTGGCACATCCAGAGGAAGGAAACAAATTCCAGGAGTAGTAGCCATTTTCAGGGAAAGCCAGAAGAAGTTCAGAAAACCTTCCAATACAAACCGAAAAAAAACCTTCCGAGAATGGCTTATGGAGAAAGTTCCAGAGGAAGACGGAATTTCTGGGAGACACATTTGGTAGAAGTTTAACTGAACTTCCTGGAGAAGACGGAAGAAACTTCCTGGAGACGCTGGAAGAAACTTCCTAAGGTATATTGGAAGATACTTCTGGAGAAAGTCGGAAGTCAGAGAACTTACGGATCAGTCGAAAGACACTTCAAGGAGAAGTTGGGGAAACATTCCATAAGAAAGAGAGTTCTTGGGGATGTTAGCACAAAACTCCCTGAAGTTCTTTACATGTTTTAATGATTCTGAGCAATTTTCCTTATTTTTATAAAACATCCATGAAGACCCAACAATGCTCCTGAAGTTTCCTGAAATGCACTTCTCATCCTCGGAATGCCTTGAAATGTCTTGCAATTCTCCTAAAGTTTATGGAGCTGCTTTGAAATTCTTTGATCATCCTCGAAGTACTCGGAATTTCCTTGATCATAACGAAACTACCAGAAAGTCTCTAATCTTCTTTGAAGGTATTCGGAACAGTCCTGAAAACCATTAAATTGACTTTTCCAAAATATTTCTGATGTTTCCTAAAGTTCATTGGAGTTCTCTGGACTTTCCTAAAATTCCCGAGTTCTCCAATTTTAACAGAATTTAATGAAACTTTCTTCAATTCATCGGAACTTACCCTGATATGTCTTATCTGCAAATCCTGCAATCCGATATCGTAGCTACGAATATCAACAAAACTCACCAGCTATGATGATGTTTGCTTTACATCCGAACGCGACACGAAATTACCGTCACTGCTGGCAGCCGTAGCTTCGTCCATCGGTGAAGAGTAAAGAGAGATAGCAAACCATACTTTCTCTTTCTACGAAAACGATGTGCAACGGAGTCATTTTTGGGTCGAGTCAACTCTCAGCTTAATTTTTTACATGTTGTGAATAGTCTCGGAATATCGAAGGAGCTAGTAAAATCAATATCAAGCATGATGATTTGTTCAAATATCTCGCGTTATTGAGAGCGCATGATAGCGGAAAAATATAATTTGATTGATGATTTTACCAACACTGTTTCAGAGTGATTTTTTTCCTGAAAGGGCAATCCAGTTTCCTATAAGTTGCTTCCGTTATTTCGATTAGATGAGCCATTTTCGAAAATTATGCGAAAGACAAAATGGCCGAATTCCAGCACAGACTTGGTTCATTGCACCAAGCGAACAATTATGCGAATTTCTATATAATTCTGATAGGTAAAATCTGAAATTTGTTCGCTATTTGGCATGGGCCCGGGCCCGTCTCAGACTAGGTCAATCTATTGGCAAACTTCTGAGAAAAACTGAGTTATATCTAAGGTCATTTTAGGTCAGATATCTCTAGAATCAACATGAAAGGCTCAAGTTCAGTCTACGAGCTAAGTCAAGATATCTAGAGTCCAGGCTCATCGGTCAATTAATGTAGCATTAGTTACAATTACAGATGTCTCTTGATTTCTTGAATTTACTTCAAAGATCTTATCAGGAGCAGATATCTCTAGAATCAACGCCATAAGCCAACTCCAGATTTCTCCAGAGGACTTTTGACGTAGGACTATGTCTGTGAATTCTATATGGGGGTACACTTTGTGAAAACCGAAAATGGAACATGTAACACAATTATGAAAGATTTTGAACGTTAATATCTCAGCTACCCCTGGACCAATTTCAATAATTTTATCCCTAATCGATCTGGAATATTTCTACGCATATGTTTTCATTTTTCAAAATGTCACTATTGAAAATTGCACGAATGTGCAACTGTTGCTATGATAGTAAAAATTATCACCGATTGCCTGCGAAAAGCGATTTCCCTAACACAGATTTCAAACTTGAACTCCATCCGGTCTCACCAAACGGTGTTTATCCTATCACCACGTGGTGAGTGGTGATGTTCTCCAGTACACAACGAAATGCTTCCCGCGAGCAGCTAGCTACCAAGGCTGACCTCAACCGCTGGTCGGATTCAGTTCCAATCACCGTGTGTGGTGATGTCCGGTCATCGACATCAGCTGCAGCAGCAGGCAGTGATTTCGGCGCGTGGCGTTGAACATTGTTCTCCAGTACACAACGAAAGGCTGTCTGCAAGCAGCGAGCTGCAGCCCACATGAGCATCCATAGAAGGAGGAAAAAGCCGGACCGCTATTGATCGGAATCAGTTGCTCGTCGTGAGAGAAGTTGGAGAAGTTGTAGGTAATAGTATGGTCAAACCGAAAAAAATGCACTGAGAGAAAAATTACTGTAAAATCGTGTTTGGTAGTTAAATTGTAATTTTTTAAAGACCCCCTTTAGTAATTTTATTTATTTTTTGGTGAAGAAATCTTAAGTTATGCCCTCAAATATGGTGCAGTCTAAGGTGGTAAAATGCTTAAAAGTTTTTGTTTTTAACAACATTTTAAGACATTCAAAACTTACAAAAAAAGTCCATTTTGGAGACCTTATGGGATGAACTTAACGGCCTTACAGTTACAACTTCGGACACCTTACAGTTTGAGTCCTTGTCCTTATGGGTCAAATTTCTTTGATCAACGCCACAGAGCTTCTGGTAGTACTGAAAGTCTAGCCCAAGGTCTTACGGACTAAGAACAGCCCAAGTAACACTTTAAATTTTATCATGGTCTTTTAGAACATTAATTAGGTTGCTTTAAAATCTTGATAAACTCCAATGACCTTATGAATCAAATCCAGACGTCATTTCGGTCAACTCTATAGGCTTCACAGTTAAGTTTCAAGACCTTAGAGTTTGGTCAAACGGTATCTTTGGAAATGGACCTGGCCTGAGAATCAACTTCAGAACCCATATGAGTCAGCTTTAAATGTATTTTAGGTTAACTTCAGAGAGTCAACATCGGAGGACTTATAGGTTCAGTCCAGTTGGGGGGACATACATTTGTAGACCCATAAATTGCCACTTTATCACCATAGTCCTTCTGTGAAGTTGTTTTTTTAATAAAAAAAGGCTCCCATTTAGATGAATGTTGCAGATAGGGGGTCCAAAAATGACGAAATAACAAAACAATAATAATGTTTTCCTATATGCGCTTACATCTAAAAAAAAATCTAAATCTTTGAAGGCTCAAAAGCTAATATAGTCCCATAATCTTGAACATATTTACTTAAGAAGAAGAGGAGACAGTAGAACCAATTTTCTGTCAAACGCGAACCTCTATGATCATACTCTGTTCCAAAATATCGTTCACCACTCGTATGGCGGGTGACCAGCTAGCAAAACTAATCCATACAAAGTTGCGATTCCGATTAGCAATCGAAGATTGATCATCACCAATACGGCTCAAAGCTGGCCGAGCCGCCCTCTTTAGCACGCAGAAAAAGGGTCCCCAACCTAACCTCGTTCTTTGGAATCGATTGACTCACCTGCATTGGTGTCGTAGGATAAGGCGGTGGCAGGCTGGGCGGTGGAAGCGCCGCTGGCGCTGGGGACGGTGCCGGTGGAGCAGGACCCGCACTGACTCCGGGTGGCACCGGCACCGGGCTGGCACTGCCGGCCAGTCCCGCCAGCGGTCCATTGCTGAGCGGCAGCCCCGTCGGAGGGAAGTCCGACTTGCGTGGTGCCGCAGGACTCGGAGCCGCCGCCACCGGGGGCACCGCCTGCGACGGTTGTGTCTGTGGTGTCGATGCAAATACGACTGACCCTCCATCAGAACCCTGCCGAGAAGAGAGAGAGAGAGAGAGAAAAACAAAGTGTACAGATTAATAATTGATCACCGGTGGTGCTTCATCTACGCATTTTATTGAGTGTATTAAGTCTAAAAGAGGATAGAGTACATATTGGAGTGTAAATTTACATATGTCGTTGGAGCGACGCGGCATTGCCATAAATTATTGATTTAATCAATTTGCAAACAGATAGCGCTCGTGCATGGCGAATGAATGCAGTCGCACATGGACGAGGGGTCCATCGGGGGGAGGAAAACAGCGTTTAATCCGATTCTCGCTCGGCAGGCATGTGCATGTGCATGTAGGTAGAGGGTAGGCTTCGTCATTCGAGTTGTGGAATCAATATTTATTAATTTTGAATTAATTTACCCCGGCGCGTTCTCGGAAAGCCGCAATCGGCGGCGACACCGAAGTAGGCGGGTGAGTGAGAAATAATCCATTCATTATAATAATTACAAGGTAAAATGAGTAGGCTAATGCGCGCGGTACAAATGCGCTTGAGGGGCGACGTGATGTAGGGAGCGAGCGGGCAAAGTGGGAATAAATTTGCATATTTGATTAATTGTTACGATTAATTTTCATATAAACATCGACAACCGGATAAAAATCTACAATCTGCAGCAGAGGCGACAACGGCAAGCTTGGGTGTGCGATAGGTTATAATTAAATTTGCGTTACTGGCTGTCCCCTCGTTTTCTATCGGACTGCGGACGGGGCGAATAAAAAAAATGCGACAACAATGACAGCGAGCACACAACACTTGGGGGGGGAGCAAATTACTTGACACCTTTTGTAATCCAATCAGGCGCGATGAAACGCGGGCCTAAAAAATGAAACGGTGTGTATAAGTAGCTTTTATCACATTCCGTTTGCGATGCGGTCACAGACAATTGGATGTTCAATTGAGCGATGATTTATGGAAATGGGTTTCGGTGATTGAGGTGGGAGATTTTTTTTCCACTCACACTGGCAACTCTTCCAGCCTTTGACGACAAAGTAACGCAGTAGCCCGTCGTGGCGGACAGCAACATGGCGACCGTGCGCTATAAAGCTAAAGTATGTTGTGACTACCGATTTGAAAGGCACCGATAAGCCAAGCGCTTCGAGCGAATCCATTAGCTTAATATTTTTTTACGTCTGTTGTAAGCCAAGCAGAAAACTGGTCGCTACATCGATAACTAATGTGATTACCCGTAGTGCGACCACTTTGTGAAATCCGTGCCGCTTTGTTGGCCAACAGCGTGTTTGACAGGTGGGACCCCATCGATAATGTCAAAAGAGTCTGACTGCAACCCGTGAAAGGGTAATTTATACATAAATTAATTATTTTCTTGTCTCGCAGCGATCAACTCGCTTCATCAAGAAAGTCAGCGTGAGCAAGATAGCTATCGAATCACCCCTCGTCGTTCGCTGCTCGTCGATGTGCAGTCGATGGGAGAGGGGGTAAAATTTATTATGCATTCACGCGATCGCCTTTTGGCATGATCTTCGATCCAACGACGGGTTGCTACGACGGTGATAACCTGTGGTCGGAAAGGGGACTGAATTTATTATGTCCAATCCGCGCGCTCTCCGGCATGGCTGTCTGTGGTGGCCGCCTCGGGTGCCGCCACTGACTGCCTGGTACGATGCCCGATTGCGTTGTTACCACACCACGTATGGTACCTACCTACTCTGTGTACAGCCTAATACCCATGCATGGGCTGCGGTTTATCAACAAGATCGTTGTCAAACCACTCGCGTGACCATAAAACAAACGAGTAGGTTCGTACATACACACATTTATGGCGTTAAAGCTGTCGTTTTATGCATATTTGTGCACCATCTTTCCTGGCCTATGAGGCCGTGCAGCAGCAAAGTGCACCCCACGGATCCGTGTCCGTATAAATAGAGTCACTGAACGAGCCGGGTCTTCGTCGTCCGTATGGTAGATACAGAAATGAGCCTTTCCCGTCCCCTAGGATCGTTCGTTCGTCCCTCTTCGTTCGGTTGTCGGTGGTTGGCTTGTGCTTGTGCTGTGGCCCTCCTCTTGTTCGTCGGTTTGTTATAAACTAATCTGATTTTATGTATATATTTAATATTATTATGCTTATGAACATTGGGCGACATGAGCTGAGCCGTGCGACGGATGACAGGGGGCACAGGAAGGAACGGAAAACGGAACGGTTTCGTGCTCGGTTGGATATCGATGCAAATCAAATCGTGTATGTTGTATTTTGCTTCCCTGCTCCAGCCGTTGTTCAACCGTCGGTTGTCGGAGCTGCTGCGGTTGCAATGTGCCCACACGTCGTCATCGTCATCGCACCGGCCCAGGGGCTAGGGTGGTTCGATTTTATCATACAAATTCAGAAGTTATTCGAAAACGGTACCATAACTTTTACGGCCAATTTGATGTCGATTTTAAAAACGTTAACAAATGTAAAATAGATAGCCAAACAATGCGAAAATAGCAGATCATATCTACTAATTTAAATTCCAACGCAATATTAGATGAGCATGAGCATGGAATTCATAGGAGTTTCTCCTCCTCTGAACTTCAGAGGAAAATTTCAAAGGCAGTCTGAGAATAATTACATGAAGTTAGTGAAAGACAACGAAATCGGAGCATAAGTCCTCATATTGTTTAGTTAATACTTAGCGGGTGATGGGGATGCTAAGAGAAGGATTACAATTAAATCTGCGAATAACTCCAGAAGATCTTCAAAGAAATTCGGAAAATAATTCCAGGAGAGATTGCCGAACAAATTAAGGGGAGAAATCTAAGGAATTTGTGAGGAGAAATGAAAATGAATTCTTATGAGCCTTTCAATGTGAGTAGAATTCCAAGTGAGAATAAACTGGAAATCTGAATGAATTCAATGAAAAATATGAGATTCTTTCCATAAGATTTCTTACTGAAGAGACTTTCAAGGCAATTCCTAGGAAAATTAAAAGAAAATTGAATTCGGTGTATAGTTTCAACGAAATTTTGAGGAATATTTCAATGGAATTGCGAGAAGTATTCTAACTATATTCTTGTAATATTTTTTTAGAGAATTCAGAGAAGCGTTCCATGTGAATTTCTGAAATAATTCCATGAGAGTTTCGGAAGAATACGAGCGTAATATTAGTAACTTCAAGCAAATTTTCATGAGAAATCTCCGTTGAATATGTAATGGACTAGGTCTGAGGTCTTCAGAACAGCTTGAAAGTCCCCAAAATATTCCTGAAGTTAATAAAACTGCCTTGAAGTTATTTTGCAGTTCTCATTAATGTTTTCAACTTCTCTAAACTTTTTTGGACTTTCTAAAATTTCCACAATTTTTCTAACGATCATGAATCTTTTCTAAAGTTTTAACAATTCACTGAATTTCTCAAAACAATTTTTTTTAATTTATGTTATTTCTGGAATATCTCTGCTCTGAGGATATCTGTTCTTTCTTGAAGTTTTTTTTTTGTAGCGAGATCAATACCTTTCTTGAAGTTCTCAAAACTTCTCTAAAGTGTTTGCAGTTCTTATGAAGCTTGTTGTACTTCCCTGATTTTAATTGAACTGTTCTAAAAATGTTTGAGCTTCCGTGAGCTTCTGGACTGATGCGACAATCTCAATCTAGGAACTTCTTGAAATTTCCCGCTAATTTAGTGACACTAATGAAACTGAACCCCCCTGAAAATCGCCTTGTTTTTGGAGCTTTACTAAACTTATTTAAAATGCTCCCGAAATGTCCCTATAAGTTTCTGAAGTTATCGGATCTTCCCTTAAGTTCCATAGACTTTTATGGAGTTCTCGAAATGTTTCTGACGATCACTTTTGTGAAGTTTTCGAAGTTATTCTGAAATTACAGGATCTCATTTAAGGTCCCGTAACGAAATAGCTAATATAGTTCTACGATTTTCACTGAAGTTCTCAAGATTTGTCTGAAGTTCAAATTATCGAAACTAATTCATAACTTCCTCAACAGTCTAGAGTTTCCTGATGTTTTTAAAACTGCCCAAAATATGTCTCAATTTCCTTAAAATTCTCTATATTGAATATTTTAGTATTTTTTTTAAAAGAACCCACCATTTTACTGGCATTGATTGAATTGCCTTTAAGTTCTTAAGTTTTCCTTAAGTTTATAAACGCTCACGGAAGTTGGCCTTAAATCACTAATTTTCCCTGGAAAGTCCAGCCCTGAAGTTTTTTATGCTTACCTTAATTTCTCTAAATTGATCAAATGTTCCGGTAAATTTTCTGATATACATTTTTTATTCCCTGAATCTTCTAAATTTTTCAGATCAATCAAAGAATTCTAAATGATTCTAAAACGCAAACAATTCGCTAGCATTTTCCAATGGCTTCAAAAAAGGCCAAAATAGGTAAGAATCAACAAAAAAAAGCTTTATAAAAACTCCAAATATAGCTATAACTTTAAAGGGCCTAGTATCTCCTAAATGACTGAAAACAACAAAATGCCCTAGAATTGCATAACAAGCTTAAAAAATGCCAAATAAATCGCTATAAATGACCAATCCACAGTGGTCCAGGAATGCAATCTAGCTGTGTAGTGACTTTGTGCCTTCGGTAAAGGTTTTTTTTTAATATAAAAGCGCCATATTTTGTTCAAAAAAGAATTGTACTAATATTGTACTAAAATGCTATTCAAAATGTATCTTTCTAATTATTCATTCTGGAGATTTGATGTCTTCGACAAAGTTGTTTATTAGACTCTTACAAAGACGCCAATATTGAAGCTCCTTTAATTTTCAAGATATTTATTTTTAAAATGTGATGTCTAAAAACCAGTTTTTTACACTTAACTATGTCAAAAGTCAATCAAAAGTAGTTTATTTTTTAATGACGTATTCCAACAAAAGTTGAAACTTTGCCGAAGACACTACCCTGTTTTGACGCATCGTTTCAAAGATATTTAACAAAGACCATTAAATTTGACGTAATTTGCAAAATTCATATCTACGTAGTCGCACAAAATCACCCCTTAGAATTTTCAGAGCCTATTAAATACTGG